CTTCTATGATAACTTCAAAGTTGATGTGGTTAGTCTCACAAAGACAGATATGGAATTTGATATGATTGGTATTGATGCAGCGTTTGCCAATGCATTCCGAAGGATCCTTATAGCTGAGGTCTGTCAAGTTTTCATACAACCTCTGATGAATCCCTCATTGTTGTAATCTTTGGCTTAAAGTGTTTCTTTCTTTATTGCAGGTTCCTTCAATGGCTATTGAAAAAGTGTTGATAGCGTACAACACATCGGTTATTATAGACGAAGTTCTTGCTCACAGGATGGGTCTTATTCCAATTGCCGCAGATCCAAGACTTTTTGAATATTTATCCGGTAAGCATATATTTCAGTGGTATGTGATCCATCTACATATGATGATAATTCTTCTGATTAGCTTACTTCTTTATCTGTGTATGATAGAACATGATCAGGCGAATGAAAAGAACACCATTGTATTCAAACTCCATGTGAAATGTCCGAAAAATAGACCACGTCTTAAAGGTAATATATGTTCATTAGTTAGCATCAGAAGATTTCTTGTTTTATTATCAGCTCCATCTCTCATGAAAGATATCATTTCGTTTTCTTGTAGTTTTAACGAGTGATTTAAAATGGTTACCAAATGGAAGTGAGCTTCTGAGAGAATCGGAAAATAAAACCTCAAAGCCAAAAACTTACACTTCATTCAGTTGCAGCCAAGATTCATTACCTGAATTTGCTAATAATCCTATCACTCCATGCGACCTCGATATCTTGATAGCAAAACTCGCCCCTGGTCAGGTAGTGTTTCTGTACATTCTTTTTATATACACCCAAGCAGACCATACTTGCAATGAGAGATGAAACATGTGCATCTTCTTTTATCTCTTTTTTCCCAGGAAATCGAGCTCGAAGCTCATGCGGTTAAGGGCATTGGTAAAACACATGCAAAGTGGTCTCCAGTAGGGACTGCTTGGTATAGAATGCATCCTGAGGTGAGAAGTATATACATCAATCTATCATATGCTTTATGGGAAACAGCTCTTTGTTTTGTCTTTCCTCATCCCAATATATATGTTTCGTAATGCTTTTGTTTATACTATCTTAGGTGGTTCTACGTGGGGAAGTTGAGGATGAACTTGCTGAACGACTTGTAAACGTCTGCCCACAGAATGTTTTCGACATTGAAGACATGGGAAAAGGTGAAGTATAAAATCTTATGCAAGCTGATGAACTTGGCTGCATGACTTACTTAAATTTGATTTCATACTGACTTGTGGAAAACAGGTAAGAAAAGGGCAACAGTAGCGCAGCCACGTAAGTGCACATTGTGTAAGGAATGCGTAAGAGACGATGATTTGGTAGACCATGTGGATCTTGGCAGTGTTAAGAACCATTTTATATGTAAGAAGAGAAAAATAAAACCCATTCCTTTTACTCTGCTACTCATGATCTGAAAGATATCGTAATTGAGTTTCTTGTCGTCTTTTTTCTCAGTTAACATTGAGTCCACCGGATCACTGCCTCCAGAGGTTCTCTTCACTGAAGCTGTGAAGATATTGGAAGCTAAATGTGAAGCTATAACCGACTTTTGAGTTCTGGTTTAGTTCAATTTTGAATTGTCTGTCTATCAATGTTTCTCCTCCTATTGATAAATTACCAACAAACAACATTGACATATTTATTTATACGGTTGTTGTTCAATTTGGATTTTCATTAGCCTTCTGAGTTCTGATTCATAACAAAATTCCTAGCTGAACCAATTTTGGAAATCTGCTTCGGTTTAATTTGGTTTTACTATTCTACCACTAGAACACTGACGCCATTCCTTACATTGTGCCAATCAAGGTGTGTGTTGGTAATAGTAGTTTTTGGTTTCATTGAACACTTAAAATAGCGTCAGTGGTAGAATAGATCCCTGCCACATTAGATTATTCTCATTAAATGTGAACTATGAGAGTTTATGTATAAATAACTGAAGAAGTAACATTTAAACAAGTAGCACCAGTGGTCTAGTGGTAGAATAGTACCCTGCCACGGTACAGACCCGGGTTCGATTCCCGGCTGGTGCAATAGAGCTGTGATGAAATCGGTTTCTGTAAAGGTTGGGTCCTTTGCATTTCTCCAGTTTATCTGGTGATATGGCCTCTTAACTGAGCTCTTTCTTTTTTTTCTTTACCTTTTTAAGTTTTCTAATTAGAAGACATCAGTACATAAACAGTTGATTATGCTAATAGTAAGACTGATTATGATAAGGGAATATAAACAAAGTTCGACAATGTGGTTGTGAATTTTATAACGAACATGTTTTAGAATATATCACAAGACTCACATGTTTTATTGGTTATTAGTGGATCTTTACAACATAACCACAAATAGGGGTGCTGAGTTTTTGAAAGAGTTTAGAAGTTTTGACCAAACAATTTTAAGTTCTTCGGATTCAATTACCAAATGTCAAAATACTCGTCTAACTATGATTTACAAGTAAATACCACTATTACAAGAAGTTTTTTTTTTTTTTTTTTTTTTTTTTTTTAACAAGAAGTTTAAGCTATGCATAGTAACATATTAATTTATTAGTATATATAAAAAAAATAATTCCAGGTTACAAAATAAAACAAAAGTATCTTACAATAATTAAATTTTGACGGTATGACGATATACAATATCACATCAATAATAATAAAAAAATTCATAGTTTATAGAAAATGGTTTAGACATATCATATCATACATATATTCTTAACCCGAATCCGGATGTTGTTCACGACGATAACGCGTAGCAATTTCACAACCACGATGGTAAAGGTTGACTGGAAATTTGACACATTCTTTGGGGGCTTTTACTGCCGCAAGCTGGAATTCTGTCTTTTATCATATCTTTATAGTTTATATATTTGCTTCCTTCTCCTAATCCGCTGAACAATGATAATATAATCAATTACTGAAACAAAGAAAAGACGGGTAAGACTCTTTTTATGACCAGCCATTGTTAAAAAAAAACAATGTTTTTGAATCTTTTTGATCTTTTTCTTTGACACTATATTTTGTAAATTGAATTGGTAATTATTAGTTTGTGTATCTTTGAATTATAACAAGAGAAAGTATTTCTAAATACAGAAGACCAGTGCATAATGTGTGTGCAAGAGTTTAGTAGTTATTTTAATTCTTCCTTTCCCCACACCATTCGTCCATAACTCCGTATTCTTCTTCATTGTTCTAAAGAGAAAACAAGAAACGTTTAACGGTTTAAGCACTTTAAACGAGTACATTGATAATAAAGCTTGCATGATTCTCTTACACAACATACACATACTTACTTACTACTTTCTTACACACTTACACACACAAGCATGCTTTTAAACACATAACTAACTCTAGACTCTTGCAAGCCACTCTACTACTTACATATTCTTGCATACTACTCTCCTTAAGATAGAACCATAGTTGGGCTTAACCAAGTAGCCCAACGTCTCCTTAAGACAAAACAGCAAGCCCGATCTCCTTTGTTGACTTGTGTCTTCCTCCTCTTAATCGTTGACTCCTCTCTTCACGTCTCCAACGTGTCTTCGTCTTTGCTTCTGCTCTGTTCTTCTTTTGCTTTGCTTCTCATCTTCATCACACTGATTCATCTTTTCTTGTTGCAGGTTTGAGCACAGGCTCAAACGCTAACAGTTACTTTGTTTGTTGAATTCATAGTTTACTAGTCCATGTAGCTTAGTGTGTTGGATCAATACATGATCATATCAATATTTAAAACGTTAAGGTTTTTGTTAACGTGAAGGCTTTGTTTTTGTTCGTCCTCAAGGTTGTAATCAGATTTGCTTCTTTGTTCTCCTCATTAAGAATTTCATGCTTAGATACTGTAACTGGTTTCCTTAGATTTCATCGCAGGTTTTTGTAGTTCAGACATAGATCTATTGCCATAAGGCTTACTTGATTGATTGTCTGTTTAATTTACTTTATAGTTTGTTTACAAATCGTTGGCCTTTCACTCTATCTATCTAAAAGATCACTAATTTTAAATATCTCTCAAACTTTGTTGCAGAGGCTATGTTACAACCAGGAGGCACTCCCACCAAGATTGTCTGTTTGACTCAAGTGGTTACAGCTGATGACCTTAGAGACGATGCAGAATATGCAGACATAATGGAGGACATGAGCCAAGAAGGTGGTAAATTCGGTAAGCAATTCGTTTTTTTTTTTACTATTGTATGTTCTGACATTATACCATTAGCACATAGCCATATACTCAGGCTTTTACATAGTCCAATATGAACTTTTGATAATTTGTTGTTGTGTCATGTGTGTGCAGGTAACTTGGTGAACATTGTGATCCCGAGGCCTAATCCAAATCATGATCCTACACCAGGAGTTGGAAAGGTTTGATTTTCAATTCTCAGATACAAATGTCTACCAAAATTCATATATAAATTGCATACTCTAATGATAATATTTAATGCAGGTTTTCTTAGAGTATGCGGATGTGGATGGCTCATCAAACGCCAGATCAGGGATGAATGGAAGAAAATTTGGAGGAAACCAAGTAGTGGCTGTGTATTACCCCGAAGACAAGTATGCACAAGGCGACTACGAAAACTGAGCTATCTATCGTCTTCTTCTTAAGCTTTTTTTGTTTGGTTCTCTTAAATGTTTCTTGCATGTTAAGGTCTCTCTACTCTACTAAATAGAGATATCTGTTTGTCTAGAATCTGACTGAGATAGTACTTATCGAGATACAATCAATCAATGTATGCGTTGGTAATAATAGCTTTTTGTGTCATTAAACACTTTTAAGTTTGTATTCGTTTTACAAGCCAAAATACCGAACATTCAAAAGCTCTCATGAAATCCACCACTTTCACTTTACAATTATTCAAAATTCAGTTGACAAATGTGAACTATAGCATATTATGTATAAATAGTTAAAGAAGGAGTACATTAGTCAAATAGCACCAGTGGTCTAGTGGTAGAATAGTACCCTGCCACGGTACAGACCCGGGTTCGATTCCCGGCTGGTGCATTGAGCGGTGATGAAATTGGCTTAAGTGAAGGTTGGGTCCTTTACATATCTCTGATCTAACGGATGATATAGCCTCGAATCTGAGCTCTTTCTATTTTTTAATAACATTTTTTGGGTTTTCTAATTAGAAGATATCATACATAAACAGTTGATTATGCTAATAGTAACAGCTCGTGGGGCAAGATAAACCATTGAGATTTTGCTCTTTCCACAAAGAGCTGAATAGTCATCAAATTCACCTTTACTAGAAGGCTTGCATTAATGGATGTACATACACATTCATTCTTAAACAATGATTAGAGTAAAAAAGGAAAAAACCTTTGACACATATATCTGCACATATCCACATAATAACTCTAGGGTAATAGATGATTAGTTTCTGAAAGAGTTTAGAAAGTGATCGATATAGGGTAAAGTGCCTACCAAACAATTAAAGTTTCTCGGATTCAATTACCAAATGTCAAAATATACATCTAACTATGATAAAAAAAAAATAGTGTCTGTAGAGACCACCATTTACAAGAAGTTTAAGCTATGCATGATAACACATTAGTTTATAATTTATTAAAATATATAATAAACAATTCAAGGTTACAAAAACAAATGGAGAGAATCTTACAATAATTAAAATTTGAATTAACAATATCACATCAATTGTATAAATTAATAAAAACATATTTTTTGTTAAAAAGTTAAATATCAAAGGGAATAAACACATATTTTCACATTTGATAGAAAATGATTTAGACATATATACATGATTAACCCGAACTCGAATGCTGTTCACGATGACAACGTGTAGAAATTTCACAACCACGATGGTAAGTGTTGGCTGGAACTTTGACACATTCTTTGGGGTTCTTACTAGTGCAACCTGGAATTGTGTCTTTTATCAAATCTTTATAGTTTATCTGTTTTATTCCTTCTCCAAATCCGCTGACCAATGATATTATAATCATTATTGAAAAAAAGAAAACATGGATAAGACTCTTTTTGCGTGCAGCCATTGTTTTTAAAAAAAAACAATGTATTTGAATCGTGTTGATCTTTTTTCTCTGTTATTATATTTTGTAATTGAATAGGTGATTAATTATCAATTTATGTTTCTTTGATTTATAACGAGAGATGATTCTATAAAAAGATGGCCAGTGTAGAGTTTACTTGCTATTTATATGTCATTTCAGTTTTTTTGTTTTATCAAAACAGAAATATGTGCGGTAGATTTTTAGCATGGCAGCACATTTAAACTGTTCAACAAATTAAGAGCAATGTATAGTTGTCAAACTGTCTTGGGATTTCGTAGTCATGAAGCTATGAGCTGCACCTCCCTCAGGGATTAGTCAGGGACTCATGGTGGCAACAACTTCTAGTTAACGAACTAGTAATGTTATCTCATTATTTCGATTATTCAGCCTTAGCTTATAGTAATTATTTCATTATGCTATTTTTCTATATTTATCTAATTCAAAGTCATGATTTCTTGTATAATAAAGGATTAGTGTTTTAAGAAAGGATTACTTACAAGTTATAACCATTTACTTGCGAATCCCCAAAAAAATATATTTATTTATTTATAGATGTATGAATGTTTATAAGAAAAAGATCTAAATTTTGTATTTTGACTCATGGACCTATTATCACGAACATGTATGCAAAATCTCAAGATGAAGATTCATTTTGATCATTAGTTCGTTACCAATAAGCAGAATCCCTTATAGCTGAGGTCTGTCCACTTCATTACAGCCTATGGACCAATGCAGAACTTTTTGAAGCGAGCCATTATAGCCATGCTTGTTTCCTAGATAAGCCTCCTTTATTAGAGGTATATATGCGTTACACTTGAATAAAATGTTAAGTATTTGGAGGATAACAAAAATTGGTAGTAGTTATGTATAGCTTTTATAAGATGCTCGATGATTACTTTAAAGTTAGAATGTAACACATCTTGAATTTGATGGATATTTGTTATATGTGAGGTCTACTGAAGTAATAAATTCATGTTATTTAGTGTTGTTCTTCCTGTTCAGGGAAAACTCAAGACTAATAACCCTGCAGCTGATTCAGGCCATGGAAATTGATACCAAAATCGTAAAATTAGTATCTGCATTTTGTAATTGGTTTGTTTAACAATGTATGGTGGACTAACTCCTTTTATACAAGAAATATTATAGTAAAAACACATATGAATTCATACGTACAAATTTGAAATATTTAATGGGAATTGTTACAAAAATATTGGATAGAAAAATGAAAAACAAAATCGAAATGGTTGGGAGTTGAAACGTTTGCTTACAAGTTAGGTATAACTTTTATGATGGAAGAGTAACTCCAAAGGTTTACAACTAATTTTTTTTTTTTGGTAAGTAAGGTTTTACAACTAATTTTGTAGTATGATTTAATTTATCTATAAAAAAAATTAGCATAAATTGAACAGATTAATAAATATGTTTTGTTTTAAGAAATTTTTTTTTTTCCAAAACCACAAAAAAAAAGAAAAAAATAAAAAAAATAAAGAAAAATGTTTAAATATAAATAACGATCCTAAAGCGAAAAGAGGTATCGAATTAGTTTGCTAACTAACGAAGCTGTAGCTACCTCCTCTCTCAACGGTAAGATCCGCCATTTTCATCGATCTCCATTTTCTGAATCAAGAGGTCTCGAATCCCCACTAATTGAATAGTTAGTGATCTGATTCGTATTTTATCAATTTTGTTTGTATCGTTGTGAAGTATGGCTCGGAAGAAGATCAGAGAGTATGACTCAAAGAGACTGGTGAAAGAACACTTCAAAAGACTCTCTGGTCAAGAATTGCCTATCAGATCCGTTCAGGTTTAGATCCATTTCTCTAGATTTTGTCTTCTTTGATAAACTTGTGTTTAGTGTGCATTGCATTGGTTTCTCCGACATGTCTCAGTTAGTTTCATTAACAAGGCTTTGATTCATATCTGTATGTGATGTGTTTTAGATTAACCAAGAGACTGATCTAAATGAGCTAGTAGAGAGAGAGCCTTGGCTCTCATCTGAGAAGCTTGTGGTGAAACCTGATATGTTGTTCGGAAAGCGTGGCAAAAGCGGTTTGGTTGCATTGAACTTAGATTTCGCTGATGTTGCAACTTTCGTGAAAGAACGCTTAGGCAAAGAGGTAAACTTTTGTTGAACTTGGCTTGTTTTTAGTTTCCTTCCTTCTACTTCCAGTTTAGCTTTGTGTGTCTATCACTGTACAGGTAGAGATGAGTGGATGCAAAGGACCCATAACAACATTCATTGTTGAACCATTTGTCCCACACAATGAAGAGTTCTATCTTAATATTGTCTCTGATAGACTTGGCTGCAGCATTAGCTTTTCGGAGTGTGGAGGAATTGACATCGAGGAGAACTGGGACAAGGTCTTTTTGGATGCTTTTTCCATTTATCTTCCTTGTTTCAGTTTCACTATCTTCTAAGCGTAAAGCTGATAATTGAGTCGTAACTCCACTTTCTATGTAGGTCAAGACCATAACTATACCAACAGGTGCTTCCCTGACATCTGAGATATGTGCACCTCTTGTTGCAACCCTTCCTCTAGAGGTAATATCAATGAGAACTGAAGTTTGGCATTGAAACAAACTACTTGTGATTTCGACTTACTAATTTAACATGTACAGATCAAAGGGGAACTTGAAGATTTTATTCAAGTCATTTTTACCCTATTCGAAGGTATGCCAAATATTCACTAATTCAAATTGAAGACATCTGAACCAAAAACTGAAGATTTATTATTATCTTCTTTTTTTCTTTGACACCAGATCTTGATTTCACTTTCTTGGAGATGAATCCTTTCACATTGGTTGATGGAAAGCCTTATCCTCTGGATATGAGGGGTGAGCTTGATGACACCGCTGCTTTCAAAAACTTTAAGAAGTAAGTTTTGACTCTTCCACTTTTTTCAACTGTTCCGAAGTCAAGAGCTTTAAGAAGTCATGATAAGTCAAGAGTTTGGGCGGTATGATTAACCTCTTACGTTTTGCAGGTGGGGCGACATTGAATTTCCCATGCCATTTGGAAGAGTGATGAGTTCAACAGAGAGCTTCATCCACGGTCTAGATGAGAAGGTATCATACCAATAAGCGTAGAGTAATTGACGCTTCTGGAAACACCAGTTTCTCTATGACTTATGACCCTTTTGTATATGCAGACAAGTGCCTCTTTGAAGTTCACTGTTCTGAATCCCAAGGGAAGAATTTGGACTATGGTAGCTGGAGGAGGTGCAAGTGTCATCTATGCTGATACCGTATGTTTTTATATGAACACCGAGAATCTCCTGCATTTTTCTGCTTAGAAGCCTTAGCCTCTAAAGTGTTTACTGAAATGTTATCCAGGTTGGAGATCTCGGGTATGCATCTGAGCTTGGCAATTATGCTGAATACAGTGGAGCACCCAAAGAAGACGAGGTTTTGCAGTATGCCAGAGTTGTCATTGATGTAAGATGCTGCTTTAGCTTCTGCCAATAAAGCATCTGAAAATAAAGTCACTCCTGACTTGGTCGTGGTGCTGAATGATAATACTGCTTCTTCAGTGTGCTACAGCGAATCCGGATGGAAAAAGCAGGGCTCTGGTAATTGGAGGTGGAATTGCTAACTTCACCGATGTTGCTGCTACCTTCAATGGCATAATCCGAGCTCTCAAGGAAAAAGTAAGCAAGAAGAGAGTAGAATCATCCACAAACACTTCATTGCCCCTTGACTACAAGTATAAATGAACCATGCTTTAACCGTTTACAGGAAGCAAAGCTGAAAGCAGCAAGGATGCATATATTTGTGAGGAGAGGAGGACCAAACTACCAAAAGGGACTTGCTAAAATGAGATCACTTGGAGATGAAATCGGTGTCCCCATCGAGGTATATAGACCCATAATGAATAAACTCAAGACATTCCCGCTTAATCAGTTTCTAACTATGTCTGTTTGATTTCAAGGTGTATGGTCCTGAAGCAACAATGACAGGTATATGCAAGGAGGCAATCCAGTACATCACCGCGGCTGCATAAGCCTTTACAATCTTATCATTTACTTTCATAATACTCTTTAGCGTTTCTTGAGTTTGAGACTTG